TTTTATGTCCATCATCTTTACTTTTTATGCCTATAAAAGGCCATGTAATTGCACTGAAAAATTACACCAAAGTGAAAGAAGAAAACACTTCTCCATTCTCTCTATCTCTTCTTGTTTACATTTTACTGCATTGCTTTTATTTTATAACAAATAAGATATATTGACATGCACTTTATTAGAGGGCAAAAAAAAGTGATGACGCAAAACAGAAATAATAAAACTTGACGGGCTTTCCTTGAGGATTCTTGAAAAGTTTGGGGATGAAAGTTGAAGCTGGAGAGTATATTCACTCTCCCTTGAGCGCGTGACGATACCAAGCAAAGTATCACAATTCAATCAATCAATCAAAACCCTTCGTTGGATCTCTCCTAGTTGCAGAGTTTATAGACGCACAAAAGACATGCTCAGCTGAGAATATCACCGAAGCTCACAAAAAACAGGTGGCGGCGGAGGTGGCGCGTGGCTATTGTTTGAATACCAAAGCGGAGATGCCGGAACATCCTGCTACTGACTTATCAGCCACCGACAATATTGGAACCGTCAAACGTTATGCCCCTCCCAATCAGCGGTATTCATAATGATTTCTATATATGTTCCCTGTTTCTAATTCCGGACTTGCTTTACTGACTTGCTAAATTTGGACGTGTTTTTATTGAATTGATATCGTCTGATCTTTTCCTTTTTACCAGGAATCGTTCACTCGGTAGGCGAAAATCTGGAGGAGGTAACTAGTTTTGATATAGCTACAAGTAGAATTTTTTAGCTACTTAGGTATTATTTTCTGTTAATTGAGATTATGTTAAGCTTAATGCGTTAATTTACATGTAATATACTGTTATGATCAAGACTAATATCATGTACAAATTTATAAATAAACTACTAGAAAGCTAGTTGTAGCTCTCATGATGAGTACCGTGTTCATCTTATATGGCTAATCCTTTCTTTTTTCTCCAATGTAGTATGTATTAACATTTAACAGTGTTTTTGAAATATCTGATGGTGTGATTAAATGGTGATGGTACATAAAAAACTGTCTGTGGATAGCAACAAGTTTGACACTGGAAAGTTTGGAAACAATTGTGTTAGATGAATTTACTCTGGAGGAATACAGGGTCCTGGAAAACAGCTCGTTTCCGATAAAATCGGCTAATACTAGTGACGTGAGGATGCATTATAAGGTTGTTTGGATACCAGCTGCTAATTGGTGGAAACTAATCTTTTATTCTAGCACTTTAAAGTTGATTGCTTGAACTTAACTCCAAATGTTGCTCTCTTCTTATTATTGTAGCATCAGCAAAACATGAAGCTCAATAGTTCTATTGATCTTTAGAATAGGAAGCCGTTTTCATTTTTCTTTTGGCTACAGGAGCCAGCGTACTGGATTTTATAAGCTTTCCTAAGGACTGTCTGTTATCGCATGTCTTTAGCTATTATCAACTAGTAGAGCTGAACCTTCTTTAAGGTTATACATGGTAGATTAGTGGACACCAAAAAGATGAGCCAATGTCCGTTCGCTGGGGGAACATGGAAGGGTGAATAACCTCCTAAAATCTGAGTTGAGCTATTGACATAGAATAAAACTTAAAACGAGTGTGGTACTCTCAGCTGGTTAACTAGCTTTATTTGTGATGAATGGACTAACAAAGTAGGATGGTTAGTGTTCTTTGCGGATGGATAGTTGGCTGGATTTAGTCTTTCTAAACTAGAAATCTAGATCGACCTTTTTCTGATTGTTTATTTTATAGATCGACTCGAACGAGCTAACAGCTATGCTAGTGATGGAGAGAAGAACCAAATCAGTGCCTCTAGTTCTGTATCTACTGTAGCTGATGCAAGTGGTGTCAATCGAGCGAATGAGTATCCTCCAACAAGGTTAATACCGCTACAAGGATGTGGTACAAGCGAAGCTTTTCAGCTACTAAATGATCGTATGTTTCTTAGATCAAACCATGACTCCTACTTTTATCAATTCTATTATCTATTTAATCACTTTGATCTCAATTACATTGTCATACCTTAAATATCTCTTTCAGTGTTCCCTTTCTCTGATGCCTTTTCGTGCCATTTGGTTATTCAGATTCAATTCTTTTTTACTGTTCAGTCTTGTTTGTGTGTATAATATTTTGCTTTGTATATTCTTTCATTCTCTCTGTCATCAACACCAATGTTGAGCTCCCTATGGATGCTGAATTCGTTCAGTGAAGTATTGGAGATCAATGGTGATTTGGCTTTTGATGTGATTCTTCCATCATTTGTGAGTGTGTACTGGTGCTTTTCCAATTATTTTCTTTACTTTAGCCTGTTTTTCGTACCAATCCTTGTGGACCTAATAGTTGAAAAAGACAATGTACATCTCAAAGAGTAGTAGACTTTATAACATTTGAAATAGTGGAATCCCCTCGGTTCAGTCTTTGGCGTGTCACTTCTTCCATTGAATTATCTCATCTTGCATGATCCTTTTGATGAAAAGCTTACCATTTCAACTTACTTGAGGTGATTTGAAGTGAAAGTTGTCATTGCGCAGAGTACTATCATATGTGTTGTTTTGTAATATAACATTTTGATGCACAGTCCCTGTCATCCTCGTTTCACAATACGAAGCCTGACTTTGTGTATATCAAGAAAACAACCATTTTTTTCATTTACTTTGTATATATTGAGGAAATGGCCAATTAATCAGGTTTAACTGCTGCTTCTGGCTATAAGAAACTGTCAACAAATAAAACAACAACAACAAAACCTCAATCCCATGTTAGTTTGTGTAAGTTATATGAATCTTCACTAGTCATTTTGCTCCACTGAGACTTGGTCTGAAGAAACTGTCAGCAATAGCCACAAAAAAAGAAAGATAAAAGAAATTGCAAAAAGCTTCAAAACTTCAAGCGCGGGCGGTGTAACACCAAAGTAACATCATGCGCATTAGACAATTCTAGATGTGTTTACCGCAAAAAAAGAAAATTCTAAATGTTCCATTTTCCCCTTGGACCTACAGATCTGCATGAAATTGAGCTCTGAACCATATATTCTTTGGCTTCCCTAGTTCAGAAAAGCTTCAAATTAACTAGGTAGATGGGGAGACCTGTAACTGTTTAAAGGCTTTGGATGGGCCAGAGGAGGTGCACCAAGAAAGAGGTCGACCTGTCATACTAACATGCTGACTTCAGCAGTCCCTGGGGAGAAGACAGCTCAAAACTCTACTAAGCGTGGGGTATGACGGGGAGAGCTGAAACTGTTTATATATTTTGGTGATATTCTTTGTAATGAAATTTTGGTAATTTGTTAACCAGCTTTCAGGCTTGTGCATTAAAATCGGTATGATGCCTCTAGTCACTATGATCAATGAAGTTTCCTCTTTTTTGATAGGCTGGGCAGCTGCTCTGAATGCTCACAACAATTTACCAGATGATTCTCTTGGTAAGAGTTAAAGAATTCCCTTATGCTAATCAATCTGATTTCTTCCTTGATTTTCAGTGGTTTTCTTTAATATACATGGGAATTTACTCAGGAATACCTTTTGCCACCTTTCGCAATTTGAATTGTTGTTAGAACTGAATATTTTGTGTAAAATCTATATTCACTACATAATGTATCCATTCGTGCTTCTTTCAAAGTAAACTTTATTTACTCTGAATCAAGTCTGGATGGTATGTTGAACACTTTTAAGCCTGGAATGAGTCTGAGTTTTGTTTTGTAAATACCATGCACCTCCTGGGTGGTTTAAAAGTAATAAAGTTGACCCTTATTCATCCACAAAAATAAAAGTGTTAAACACTTCTAAGGCTATGAATGTCTTCTCTAGGATAGTTGAATCCTTTTGTGTACAAAGTTCATGCCGGTAGTAACGCGCAGTTTCAATGGCCTGGATTTTATCCTTTGTCATCTAATATAGTAAGTAGTAATGCCAAGTTTTGATGTCCTTGAGTCTAAACTATCTTGAGAGCAATTAGATGGATTTGCATTTCCCAAAGGATATCATTCTACCACTTTGATTTGAGTTACTTCTCTGTACTGTCAGCACATTCTTGTGAAATTGCAGGAAGTGATGCTTTTGTTGTGGTAGTTCTCATTGTTGAAGGAGTGCAGAAATTATTTAATTTCTATAATCTGTTTTTGGGTTTAAATATCAATAAAATAATCTGTTTATGAGTTGATTGACTTTGGATCAATGGTATATTGCTAACTAAGATTTAATGACTGTGTCAATGGGCGTAGATCAGAAAGAACTCCCAGGAGACGTCGAGCATAAGTGAATCTCTCACTTCTAGTTGCTGTGAAATTATATGATTTCTCCAATTATCATTAAGAAAAACAAAAAAGATCATTTCTCCATCTTCTCCTCTAGTCGCAACTAATTTGGCTATCTTTCTGTTTACCCAGAAAGGCCAGTCATGTACATGAAAAGATCACCCTGGGGGCACGCAATGCTTCCACATCAAGTAAGAAGCAGTCTACTGATTCTCTCCCCCTTCCCCTCCTCGGTGTCATCTCTCCATAAATACTGACATTCATCTTTTGCCTTCAGTTAATGTCACAAGCAGGAGCTGGATCTTCTACTGGGCCACACAAGGATTTTTTGAACGAACTTCGGCTGGCAATGCTCAGTGCAAATGCCATTTCTGATGCCTAATTATTACCCATCAAGTGTACAAAACTAAGTTATGCAGTTTCAGTCTTTCAGGAATTTTTGCACTGCAATGTGTTAGATACCTCTAGTAAGCTATCATCAATGCTGAATAACTACTTGATATTTAATCTGTTTGAGAAAGACAATGTGTATTCATTACATTGGCAATTCTGCACCCTTCCACATTTCTGGCTTTCACGTTATATGCTGCACTAGTGATTCTCCGATGAATGCGACTTCTAATATGCCTCTGATGTTAGTATAGATGTGTTTAAATAGATGAGAAGAACCCTACAACTGCGTCAACAGCATTTAAAAATACAACTCGTTGGTAAATGCAGTTTGTGGAATAATGGTACTTCATACTGATGACAAGTGCAAGAAATAGTAGACATTGTAAACTAAATATTTTAATTCATTGAACATTAAGCTGGCGGAATATATACAAAAAACCCTACCTCAGCTTAGTGACAGCACTAGATTTATTAAGAGGAACTAAAATCTAAACTGTTTTGCAGAATCTAGCACTATTATCATACATCTGAGGAGGTCTGACTGATAGAGGTTGTTTTTTATTCCTCGACTCGAGACCTCAGTGATGGATTGTACCACAGTTTTACAATCTCAATCACATGGATGTAAGTGTTAGCTAAACCCCATTTGGAGAGAGGTTTCTGCAGCCATGTACAGACTCTGGTGATCCTATAGTAAAGCCATCATCAGTTGGATGGTTAGAACCATCTCTAGCAGCCTTTTGTGCTTTCTTCTTTTTCACCTTCTCAGCCCATTCTATAAGGCAAGCTTGAACATGATCATCAAACATTGACTTCTTATAGTGACTGCCCATCTATAATTTCATGTCGAAAAAAAGAAAAATAATTTAGGAGGACATAAAGGTCTAAGTTTCGAGTTTAAGTTATGTATACTATCGTCCGTCAATGTAAGAGTTTTTTACATTATCAGGTCATTTTTACCTGTTGTAGCAGGCAACCTATTTTATTTTCAAGATTACAATTCTCACATTTTATGGAAGCTTACCTGTACATATCCTTTGGGTGACCACATAATGTAAAAAAATTCTTTACGCTGATGGTGTGTATAACTTAAACTCTTAGGGGTCATTTGGTTGGAAACAAGTTATCCCAAGATTAATTATCCCAGGATTCGTTATCCCGGGATTAGTTATTCCACCCTTCCATAGGGATAAAAAACACTACAATCCGGGGGTAACTAATCCCGGGATTAGTTATACCACAATTTTATCCCAACCAAACATGGGCTAAGCTCAACTCAAATTTAAACCCGGGATTAATTATTCCTTATCCCTCATACCAAACGAGCCCTTAAGTTTCATAAATGGAATTCAAACTTCTTGCATTAACTGTCTGAGTAAAAACTCACCTGTGTAACTAAAGCATAAAGTGGCAATGTACTATAGCTGCATAAAACCTGAATGAACACCCTGAAAAAGATGGAAAAAACCTTCAAATATGAACACACTGATAAATCAGATATAATAAGGAAACTGAAAGAAAAAGGTCAAGAAATGCAAGAAAATTTGCCCTAAAGAGTGAAATATAAACTGTGGGAGTTATAAGGTATAGCTGATAAGAAGTATAGCAATCTACCCTATGACAAGCCGAGGGGCGACAAACACGTATTTTCCCATTATGCAGGAGTAAAAGCCATATTGGAACTACGGAGATAAAAAGAAAAACAATGAAATTAGAAGAGAGCATTTAACTGTAATAAACACTGAATTGACAGGTTGTGTTTGATTAGCTTACCAAAATCCAGAAGAAAAATGCTATTTCAAAAGCATTTTGGAAGAGAATAAAATGTATCAAGAAGAGGACGATTTGAGGGCGATCGAACCAAAAGTGACTATCAGAAGGTTGTACAACCAATTCACCTTCTACTGCTACATGTTTCTCAGCAATTTCATGAGCCAACTGTATAATCACATGCTCCAACTTTGTGCCCACAGCAAGCAAAAGCTGAAAAACATGAAATGAAGAACGAAAAGGGAACAGAAATCAAGTCAGGTTGTTGCTGCAGCACAAGTCTTGTAGTGTAAAACCAAAACCAAACAGCAAATAACACACATGTAAGGAAAAGAAAAACTTTTCATGTTTAACGCTCATTATAATGATTTAAGGCTCGAGACAGATGTTGACTAGTATTTTGATCATGACTTGAACATAAGTACCAGGCAATTATCAGGAAAGGTGATCATGTCCTGAATATTAAATCATAAAATTCTGATAAATAATTCATAGCTTCGGAGATTAGGCGTTTTCATAAATTAACGGCTTGTTTGGATGGTTGTTACCTGTTGTATTGTATCTGTTGCGGAAGCCAAATGTATATAGTGTGAATGAGTCACAACTACTATACCAAAATTTATGGTAGCCACTAAATAATAAATAAGACAATAATACAACAAGAAAATGAACACCAGAATTTACGAGGTTCGGCCAATTTTGCCTACTTCCTCGGATACAACCAATATTTTATTCCACTCTAAAATACAAGTGAAATAATACTAAAGAAAGAAGATACAAATGCCTTAAGAAGATGAGAAAACAAATGAGAGGTGTGTCTTAATCCTAAACATTAGGTCTCCTTTTATAGGAAAAAATCTCATCCAAAATTGTCACCCACCGATGTGGGACTTTTGACAATTTCAACAAATCTCCACCTTGGCAAAATTCCACACCTTCAATTTTCTCTTAATAACAAATTTTGATTGTGTCTTCATCTTCAATCTTTAGTGTTCAACAATGTTGATCAAATCTAAACAATGTTAAAACTTGACCGCAGCCACCACTTTTGTCATCATATCAGCAGGATTCTCCGTAGTATGAATTTTCTTCACCGTGACTCCACCTTCTTCTATGATTTCTCGTACGAAATGATACCGAACATCAACGTGCTTCGTCCTCGCATGATAAACTTGGTTCTTCGCTAATTGAATAGCACTTTGACTATCACAAAAAATTGTGATACTTTTTTGTCCACTACCAAGCTCCTTTAGCAAACCCTGAAGCCAAATTGCCTCCTTCACAGCCTCTGTAATAGCCATGTACTCTGCCTCTGTTGTAGACAAAGCAAGTGTTGACTGTAAAGTAGACTTCCAACTAACTGGTGCCTTTGCAAAAGTAAACACATAACCAGTAGTTGATCTTCGTTTGTCCAGGTCAGCCGCAAAATCTGAGTCACAATATCCAACTACAGACTGATTGTATTCCTGCTCAAAAACTAACCCAACATCTGTAGTATTATGAATATACCATAGAATCCACTTCACAGCTTGACAATGCTCCTTTTNCATATAGGAGAAGATATATAAAGGAACCATCTTTAAGCTTGCGCAAATACACACAATAATCGTACTTGCTTCTCTTGTACCCTTGCAGCAACATAAACTTGTCAAATCATTTGTACCATTGGCTAGAAGATTGTTTCAATCCGTACAACAATTTTTCAAGTTTGCACACCATATTTTTCTTTCCAGCAACTTTGAATCCTTCTGGCTGAGTCATGTAGATTTCCTCCTCCAAGTTTCCATGTAAAAACACAATTTTTACATCCATCTGAACTAGTTCCAAATCCAACTGTGCTACCAAAGCCAACATAATTTTAATGGAGGAATGTTTTACAACTGGAGAAAATACTTCATTGTAATCAATTCCCTCCTTTTGAGCATATCATTTGGCCACCAATCTTGCTTTGTAGCGAATATCTTCTTGGTTAGGAAATTCTTCTTTCTTTGCAAATACCAATTTGCACCCAATTGCTTTCTTTCCCTTCTGGAGATTGGCCAATCTCCATGTATGATTCTGATAAATGGACTGTATTTCATCATTCATGGCTATTCTCTACTTATCTTCTTCTGAATTTTGGACTTCATCTTTATAAGTGGTAGGAACATCATCAGCTACAATTGAGGCGACACAAGCAACCGTCCCTATAAGACGAATAGGTTTTGTTATTGTCTNAGCCAAACACGTGCAAAGAGTCATAATCTACAACAGGCTTTCCATACCATTTTTCAAATGGTGTATTGCCGTCAATAACAGTAGATGGTAGACGATTAATGAGGTGACATGCATATGTAATTGCCTCATCTCAAAATTCTTTGCCCAAGCCAGCATTGGACAACATGCACCGTACTTCCCCAGTAAGGTCCGGTTCATACGTTCTGCCACTCTATTCTGTTGTGATGTATGTCTGATTGTGAAGTGTCGGACGATGCCATCATTTTCATAGACCTTATTGAAATGATCATTTTTGTATTCACCTCCATTGTCTGTGCGAAAACACTTGATCCTCCTGCCTGTTTGATTCTCCACCATCGTTTTCCATTTGAGAAAAATTCCCAACACTTCATCTTTCCTCTTCATTGTATACACCCACACTCTTCGGGAAAAATTATCAACAACACTTACAAAATAGTGCTTCCCACCCAATGAAGGTGTTTTGGAAGGACCCCAAACATCAGAGTGTACATAATCCAAAATGCCTTTAGTGTTATGAATCGCTGTACCAAATTTAACCCTTGTCTGTTTCCCTTTGATACAATGCTCACAAAACTTCAAGTTGCAAGTCTTTACTCCTTTTAACAATCCTTGATCTGATAGAGTTTTCAAGGGTTTTCCTCTAGCATGTCCCAAGTGCATATGTCATAGCCTGGTTGCTTCTGCTTCTTTGTCGTCCCTGAATGTCACTGTCGCTGTCCCAATAATTGTATTGCCACGATAGCGGTACATGTTATTGTTCTTCCGATTGGTCTTCATTACCACTAATACACCAGAACATATTCTCATCACTCCATTTTCTGCAATGATTTTGAACCCTTTTGATTCTAGGGCTCCCACAAAGATGAGATTCTTTTTCAAACCTGGTACATATCGAACATATGTTAATGTTCTGATCATTCCATCATGGTTCTTTAATCGTATTGAACCAATGCCATATGAGGTAAGAGGGCTGTTGTCTGCTGTGTTGATGACTCCATATTCTCCTTCTTGAAAATCCACGAACCAGTCCCTCTTGGGCCACATATGATAGCTACAAGCCGAGTCCATCAACCATATGTCTGATGATGTTGATGACTCTGTTGTAACTAATGAGAAGTCTGAATCATCACAATCAGCTACATTTGAATCCATAATGGCCTTTCCATTGTTATGTTTGGCCTTATTCTTCAACTTCGGACAGTCTTTCTTCCAGTGCCCTTTTTCTCGACAAAAGGCACATTCATCTTTGCTGGGTCTGGATCTTGACTTGGATCTTCCCTTCTTTGTCCTCGTTTGATTTTGAGGACGACCCCTCACAAATAGTGCTTCTCCTTCTCCGCCCTTCTGTTTTTCTCGCTTTCTTTGTTCATAGCTGTACAAAGCCGAACAAACTTCTCTGAGAGAAACTTCGTCATTTCCATGGAGTAGAGTAGTTTCAAGGTGCTCGTACTCATCAGGAAGTGACGCCAACAACATCAAGGCCAAGTCACCATCATCATAAGTTGTATCCATATTTTGCAAATCTGTAACCAACTTATTGAAACTGGTGATATGTTCATTCATCGTGGTACCAGGAACATAGGTGAAGTGAAACAGTCTCTTCTTCATGTACAATTTATTTTGACTGTTTTTCTTCAAAAATTTATCCTCCAGTGCTTTCCATAATTTACTTGCAGAAGTTTCCTTTGTGTATGGATATTTCTGCTCTCTAGCAAGGTAGGATCGAATGGTACCGCAAGCAACACAGTTTTTTCCAATCTTCTTCTCCAGTAACATCTGGTTTCTTTTCTTCAATGGCAAGATCTAGCCCTTGTTGAAAAAGGACATCTAGAACCTCGCCTTGCCACATCCCAAAATGTCCTGAGTTGTCAAAAATTTCTACCGCAAATTTCGCATTTGACATAATTCTTGTCATAAGCGAAGATGCCAAAGATGACGTATTATTGGCACTTGATGTAGATTTTTCTTGTTTATTGTCTTCCATTTTTGACACAAATATTATTTAATTGCTGACGACACAAATCAAGATTATTTCCTTTCTGGTGTGGAAGATCAGACTAAGCTGCAATCAAAGAGCATACTCAGACAGAACCTTGACTCAGTTACCAAAATAAATCTTTTCTGATGTGGAAGATCAGACGATGCTGCAACCATAGAGCATACTTAGACAGTACCTTGGCTCTGATACCAATTGTTGCGTAAGCCAAATGTATATAGTGTGAATGAGCCACAACTACTATACCAAAAATTTATGGCAGTCACTAAATAATAAATAAGACAATAATACAACAATAAAAGGAACACCAGAAGTTACGAGATTCGGCCAATTTTGCCTACTTCCTCGTACACAACCAATATTTTATTTCACTCCAAAATATAAGTGAAATAATACTAAAGAGAGAAGATACAAATGCCTTAAGAAGATGAGAAGGCAAATGAGAGGTGTGTCTTAATCCTAAACATTAGGCCTCCTTTTATAGGAAAAAATTTCCATCCAAAATTGTCACCCACCGATGTGGGACTTTTGACAATTTCAATAGTATCGTCTTGTTAACTTAAATACTATGTTTGTTTTGATTGTTACTTAAAATTTTATTATATCGCATCGCTAAATACGTCGTTGCTTAACGGCGAAAAGTGTCACTTTATCGAACGACCAATTTGGTGTGGCCGCGTCGTTACCTTATTTTTTCTCTCATCTTGCCCTTCCTCACTATTAAATAATCATATTTTATTATTTACCCTACCTTTTATAAAATAATTCTACCTTGTACCTTAATTTTTCTTTATAAATTGCAAGTTTATTCTTTATATTGTTGGTGCATGATATCATGAAACGACGACAAATAATGCAATCTATCCATTCACTGTATACATCAAAATGACACAATACAATACAAAACAAAACTATACGATACATTATGAAACGATACATAACCATCCAAACAAGCTGTAAATCAAAGCTCAAAACATTGGAAAAGTTTATGTTGGGGGTCACTCACAATGAAAGGAATGAAAGCAATCCAGAAATAGGTATGCCAACCTGCAAAAGCATAATTATGTCTCAAGGCGAACAGTACAAATGAAATCATAACAATGGCAAGGTGAACATGTCTATTGGAAGTTTAAACTGGCATACCATTAATATTAAGCAACAAGAAGAGGATTACGAATATCCAGAGATACCAACTACAACAAACAAAAGCAAAGAGTAACAGTTAATTTGAAGAACCAGCAATGAGAAAGAATGATTTAAACTCTTTTTAAGAGCTGAAGAGGAAAACGTTAACGAGCTATAGCATCATCCTGTCACTTATACCTGATACCGACAACTGTCCTGAAATCGTCTTCCAGTGCTCGTATCATGTACCTGTGAAAATTGAATCTTGGATTTCCCCTGCAATGTGTCTACACAAGGAATATGCTTTTACTATATCATAAGCAAAGTAAAAGCGCGCACAAAATACATGGTAAAACAAGAAGCCAGTCACAACTTAATCTGGCAAAAAAAAAATAGTTACCGTTATGAATCCCAAACGAAGTGCTCTATAGTCTTCCTTGTTGACAGAAGCATAAAATTGCTTAAAGAAAGAATGCTGCAAATTTTCACCAAAGCTAAGTAAGTAGTACACTTTGACAATCATATAGAAGTAACTTTACACATGTCCTCCGACTTCTTTATATTTTTTTTCTTACTCATAAAACTACATATCTCAGTTTTCTCTTGTTCTTATCATTCAAGGTAGTTTTGAAATTTCAACACAACTCAATATCTCAATCACGATGTTTGTCACAAATAAGGACCTATACTTGCTAAATTCAAATTGTCCGCCATGCTTCAACATTTAATGTCCTACTTAATTTGGTTTTATGCTAATATATTGCCATTTTAAACCAACCAAAGCATATATTGACAACAAAAAATTGAAATTTGAGTTATTAGCATCATGAAACAGAACTCAGATACTAATCAGGATAGGAGAAAAACGAGTAGAAATGGGCATCTATGCACATAAACATAGACGAATAGTCTATCCCACCTTCACTAGCATAGATTTACGATATTTTTCTTTTCTATTTGCACCGATAAAATTTCAACCAGAAATAAACCATTTCTGAACTAAGATATTTGAGGAAAATCTTGACAGTGACAGAAGGATACATTATTTATTTCGATCCCAAGTATAAAAGACTTAACATATAGACTCTCCATAGCCTAAAATTACGTAAAGACCTTGAACTCTCTGAGAATTATATAATTGACATAAAATCATGTTGTACGCTAACTATTAGATTCTATACATACTACAAAGGAAGGCTTTTTTGCATGCGTACAAGTACTATAATGTGATATTGTTTTCCTGAGAATGGCCAACATACTTATTAGGGAAGGAAGGCGCTTACCACCCAACCTAAAATGGCTGATTGTTTACCAATACCCTGAAACCGATTCCTGATGAAATCATGTTCCTGGACATGGGTAACTGATGGTCTCAGATGATCTGCAAAACGGCGCATAAATGTTTAAATTGGAAGAACTAATAACATACAGTCGAGACGTGATGCACAATGGAAGTAACATTATGTATACCATGCTCCGACTCATAATTATCTTTTACGATTGAATCCTCCCAGTACTTCCATTGACGTATCTATACCAATGTTAAAAAGATTACAGCTAGTCAGTTAGCCAAAATTGAAAAATAATTGAAGCAGAAGAGTTTAGTACTGACCTTTGCTCCTCCAAATACAATAGTCAGAACAGAGAAAGTCACATGCACAGTAGCTAAGACAAAGATAAAAATGTGAAGGTGATGCAACGCCTCAAGAGATAGTAACGGGACCTTATGCTGAAAAGAAAAATGAAAAGAATTATTAGTAAAATGCAACGCAAGATCGACTATCACAAAACTAAAGTTTGAAGTCATAGTCTACTATAAAAGGAAACATTGATATACATAGTTCAGAACCAGAATTTAACACTAGTATTTAGCTCTAGCAGCATCAAGAATTAACAAAAGCTAATTTTGACAGCCATTGGCATATCACTCAAGTGCAGTTAACACAATGTCTTACAAAGCTCGTGTTACTCTTAATCAATTAGAAGTTGGACCAACATTTTGGTTTGTTTTGGTACAATACAATGCAAGTAGACTGTGATGATGACGGAGGGCGGGCTGACGAGGGTCGGTCAAGTACGACTAGCAGGCTTCTAGGTTGGCAAGTTTCTGAAGAAGGGGTGCACATGTCACCTTAGGCGAATCCAATAATGGGAGAGGTAAGTGGAGAGCTTTATAAGTCATGACACAAGTTCACATGGTACACGCGCTTTTGAGGCTCAAGGTGGGTAGCCCGGAAGACAAATCCATGCGACCTAGGCCCAAAGCGGACAATACGTACTGTGAGCTTGGGACGTGACATAGACCTAGCAGGATTACTCAGAGTAGGAGAGATGCAATATAAATTCATGAAAGTTACAACACTATTTTCGTTCTTTGTATAGAAGTCGATCCCATAATTAACTTCTCTTTTATTAAGACAGATATCAGCAAAAGCAAAGTAAGTGGAAGTAAGCGGAAGATAAAAGCATTCGACTTGAGTACTTTGTGATGGCAGTAACCAACAGCAGCCGCTTCTTCTACAAGCAAATGGCGATGGTGATGTGAATGCGGACTAGCAGGAGTCGATTCATGTGGCAAAGATGAGTTAGCCTCCAACGATAACGAGCAAGGAAGTAAGTGTTTTACAACATCCTGATGCACACAGAATTTGACAATGCGACCTTGAAATACCGTTAACAGCAGGGATATAAACCCCAACAGCATCAACTCTGCACATTCACATTCACAAAACCAATTCATAAATGCAACAGTAAGACTTGTACTTCAAACCTATGTTGCTCGGACTCTCCGAAATTATTGCCGGGTGCATTGCGGCGTCATTTTGGAGAGTCCGCGCAACATAGCTTCAAACTAAAGAATATGAACTGATACAGTGATTGAGATAAAAGAGAGATTATAGAACCTTCTTTAACTTTCTGTAAGGCTTCATAAAGATGCTTCTGTTTCTTCTTCTTCAAATGCTGCACATAATATTAGCAAAATAAAGGAACTTTAGCAACTACAAAATAAGGCAAAGCAGCAATAAACAATATCAACAACGACAACAATTACGTTTCCAAGCCTAAACAAGTTTGAGTCTACTATATGCATTCCCTATATCATTTCATTCTACTTAATTTGGAACTATCCATAATCTGGAAAAAGAAAAGGAAAAATAAAATGGTGGAATCTTCAATTTGAAATTCAAATTAACTGCAGAGAAGGAAAGCAAAAGAGGGAAAAAAAAAATAAGATAATTACATAGAGATCCTATTTTATTATTGAAGAGGAGCCTTGGCGCAACTGGTAAAGTTGCTGCTATATGACCAGGAGGTCACGGGTTCGAGTCGTGGAAACAGCCTCTTGCAGAAATGCAGGGTAAGGCTGCAGACAATAGACCTTGTGGTCCGGCCCTTGCCCGAACCCCGCGTATAGCGAGGTCTTAATGCAATAGACCTTTGTGATCTGCTTCTTCTCCGGACACCGCGTATAACGGGAACTTAGTGCACCGAGCTGCCCTTCTTTCTTTAAATCCTATTTTTTATTATCTTTGTTATGCTGGTTTCTTAACATAAAGACAGAGTCAAACATGACAATCTTCTAGATGCAACGTGACAACAAATGTATATAAAATTAAAATGTATGTAAATTTTGATTGAAAAATGACTGAGACAGAAGGAAAAAAATTATTGAAAAATTGTCTGAATCTAAAAAATTGCAATTAGACCTTTCCAGTATAATGGAGGAAGCGCTCAAGAGCTAAAGAAATGGAAACAATGACGGTGCAAACAGCAGCAACAATCCACGTTGGTGTAAATTCCAATGATCCTTCTCCTTCATCTTCTCCACCTCCACTCATGTTTTTTTATTTTTAATTATCTTTTTCCAATCAAAATTATAACTGCTCCTCTCGTTAGTTGTTTCATGAAATGTGTAATAATTAAAGAAGGAAATTAAAAAACGAATCACACCCACAATAACAAGCGGGAGTGATTATAAAATGGAGAAATGATCAATAAAAGAAAGAACAAATTTGAAGGAAAATGGCAAAAATGTGCAAAAAAAAATCGGTTATATTTTCCTACAACTATGGTCTGCATGTTTTTGATGTGTTTAACTCTGTTTTCATGAAAATGATATTTGATTTGTCTTGTTTTTTTTGTGTGATGCTTATTAACGTAGGCATTAAATAATATAAATAAGAAAAGTGGCAGTTAAACATATTCCACTGCTATTAAATTAACAATGTCAAATATGAGCTCTTATTTAAAGTAAATAAATGGAATTTATACTTAATTTTAAAAATAATACATGTTATACTTTAATTACGCGATTATTGTCAACAGACAGATATTTAAATTGCCGAATGGTACAATGCGTTTTTGTTTTGGTGACGTGGGACATCGCATTTATATAGTCGATCACATCTTGCTTAGGATTGAGGCATAATTATTGTTGGTTATGAAACTCTACTTTTATCTTTTACAAATAGCGTATATAGCACATGAAATAAAAACGGACGCATACTAGCAACGAAACAAAAGGCAATTTAACTCGGGATTGAGTTGCAAGTTACAACTATAATTACACTTACTACACCTCAATCCCATACAAGTTTAAGTGTATGCCAACGATAAATTAACTAGTTTTATTCAAACAATCGACCTGTTGCAACTTTACTCTTTTACCCGAGTTTGGGAGATAATGTAAACAAGCTCACACACAGGCTGCATTATTCAGTTAGCAAGTTGCTTGTCCAAAATGAATTTAGCTTGATATTTTCATTTTGCTCTTGTTGAGGGGAGCCTTGGCGTAGCTGGTGAAATTGCAATCATGTGACCAGGAGGTCACGGGTTCGAGCTGTGAAAATAGTCTCTTAGAGAAATGCAGTTTAAGGCTGCGTACAATAAACCATTATGGTCCGGCCCTCTCTAACCCTGCGCATAGCGGGAGCTTAGTACACCGGGTTGCGCTTTGCCCTTTTATTTTGCTCTTGTTGGTTAATGTTGTAATTGACCTGCATTGCACATATTTTGCTGATGTGAGAGGAGAGGTGTTAGAAATTGAATATTTAGCAATATATTGAGAACTTTTTGGATTCTTAATGTGTAGGATCTTCTCTCTTTCGTTATCCTTTAATATTGAACATTATCTATCTTATTATTTTTATTTTCTCTCATTCATTTCCTTTGGTTGGTTTAACTGTAAAATTTGGTGTCTTTAAGATTTGTACTAAATATAGCAAAAACTTTAATAAAATTACTTTCTCATAGTATTAAATTATTTATGAAGTAGTAATACATAATGCAATCAATAAATGACATACAAAAAATGAAAAATATAAAGAATTCTAAGATGCCTTATTCAGTCAATAATTAACTGCTTTTGATTCTTTTTTAAATGTTATGATTTATCATTTGGAATGGAGATGTTATGGAGTTTCAAATTTCACAAGTATAACTCCACAAACAATGGCTATTTTCGATAAAGGTTGAAAAGTGACTATTTGTGAAATTTTGCCCGAGTATATTACAGTGTGTATATCTTAACATTTTAAACAAATTGAAATAATCTTACTTTCCTTTAAGGTTAAATCTTATTAGTTCATATGAAGCTAAAACTAAATTATATGATATATTATGGGTTCCTACGTATGAGGAGTTGTTACATAATAAATTGGGTTAATTCTTAAAATATCAAATAATAAAAATATAATTAAATTATAATCTTTTAAACTATAACATCTACTTTTAAATGATAAAAAAATATAGAGGCATGTTTATATGAATATTTTATTTTACATGATAATAAGGTGGTTCTAATAATACAAATGAGATTGTTTTCTTTAATTTATTTATTTTTACTTCAGTATGAGTAATTGATTGTTTTACAAATTTATCCAAGAAAATTGATATATATATGTTACATTGTTTCCTAGAACAAATTCGTTCAAGTCTTCTATATATCGAAATGTAACAAAAAATTTCTTTGATTGATTTATTTTCATTAGATGCTCAAGTGCCATAAATTATTTCCAATTCAATGTTACATCAATTTATATAAATATAAAAAGTAAAATATTTAGAATATTATTATTAACGTATTATGCGTGATGACTGGTTAAAAATAATTTAAAGTAAGTGAAACGCAATGATTGAACCGGCGCTGTTACAAAAGCAAAAATATATTATAATGTTCATATAGAATGTGAAAATCAGCTAGAACTTTCCAAACAAATAGGAAGCTTGTATAATATAAGGTATTGATTTTATCTTTGTGTATTGTTCTAAGGATATTCATGTTATGAAATGAGTTTTGTTTTTCAAATTAGCTATCTTATTCATATTTTCCTTATTCTAGATAATAAATGTATATTTTTTTAACAAAATAAATGTTTGTACTATTTAAGATATTTTCCATCTTTCTTCCTTCCTTGCTTCCCTCTTCCTCTTCTTGCCCTTCTTGAGCCGATGGTCTATTGGAAACAGCCTCTCTACCTGCATTAGGTGGGGGTAAGGTCTACGTACAAACTACCCTCCCCAGACCCCACATGTTGGGATCAAACTGGGTTTGTTGTTGTTGTTGTTGTTGTTGTTACTATTTAAGGTATTGATTTATTGAGGGATACATATGTTATTTTAGAGTAATATAATTCTTTTAAATATATTCTATTCTTCATGTCCACGTAATTCTTGATTATTCTCGATAGTACATATTTAAATAGTGGAGATTTATCTAAAAGTTTTAAATATGTTTTAACTCAAACGATTGAAATGAGTTTCAAAATTATCCTATACTTCTTTGCAATTTTCTACATTATTTTCAAGTAAAATGTACGAAACTCGACGCAATTATGTGATTCATGTGATTAATCATGTATTTTATTACTCTTACATATGTTCAAAAAATTATAAAAAAGCTTCTCAACAATGTTGCATTATATGTTTAAAAAATCATCTTAATAGGTGTCACATGTAATTGTTTCTCTTTCATGGTTGTGACTATTATTTTTATTGTATTTTAAGGAGCGGGATGATCATTTTGAGTGAAAAATGTACAAAAATCAAAATCCCTTATAATTTATTAAATAATCACGGAATATACAATGCTTAAATCCATGGCAAAATACAAAATTGATCGCTTTGTCAAAAATAATTATATTAACTAGCCAAAAGAGGATATAGAATATGTATACTATATATATAATTCACATATATACCAAAAAATATTTATCTACTATTATTTTTAGAAGCGATTAAAAATACATACTTCTCTAAAATATTTAATCAGGGATTTGATTTGTCATAACATTTGTACAATTAATATTTTATTGCTTTGAGTACGGTGAAACAATGATGATTATTTCATCTTGTAAATAATTTATTACTAAATTTAGTTAGTTGTGCTTTTATATCAAAGTTTTGATTAAAGATTTAAGTGCAACGCACGCACATAGTAACTAGTTATATTAAAAGCACGAAAACCCTTAGCGAAATGTCGTTCGCCTTTTTTACCCTTTAAAACATAGAGTTCCCATGGGACAATATAGTAATTTAAGTACTTCATAAATATTTAAAAATATTCACTTAATTAATTTAGTTTTTGAATTTTTTGGTAAATTTTTCTTCAATTATTGGTTATTAAACTTTGCCTTAATTAATTGGTTAAATTTTGTCACATTTCTTACCCAAGGAAACTTAACAAAAAAGAATTCCTAAACTTTCATCCTCATTAAATAACAGATTCCCTTTACTCTTTGGAGTATTAAGTGAGTTATTATGTTGCCTTAATTATTTGGTAATAAAAATTTTCTACTGTTGCATAAGGAAAGTTTATTGTGAAATTGCACAAGGAAAGTTTATTGCACGGGTAAAATGGAACCATCATTATTGTGGTTCCGTTGCACACAAGGAAAATGTTTAAAGAATTTGACTTGCTGGACGACACAAGGAAATATTTTGGTAGAAGTTTTTATTATTTGGTAAATTTTCTTGTCTCTTTCACCTACACACAAATTTACTTTATATAATTCTTTTTATGTGTCAAATTGTGTACCATAATACTTCCATAAAAGAAGCTACAATGTCACAATTTAATCATCAAAGTTCTCCCTATTCCAACATCGCGATTTCAGGTGTTGTTTCTTTTACTAATATCAATATCTTTTGCTACTTCGTATTTTGCAAGCACGTTTGCATGCACCAATTTTTAGTGTTGTATCAATAATTTATTTTTATTGTTTCATCAATAATTTTTTATTATATAGTTTTTGTTTCATGTTTTTGACTTGACTAATTTCACATCTCACATAATTTACAAATTTATTACAGGTTATTGAAAAATTGCAATTAATCACAGAAAATCGGTTAGACATTCTATCTAAGTCTTATCACTTAAATATTAGTATTATTTATTTCCTTTGTTGTATAATTAATAATATTTATAATTGCTATGCCATCTCAAGTTGCTTGTTTTAAAAAGAATTAAAATTAGACTATCACTTTACCTTAGAAAATTAGGCAGAAAATTAGAAAATAATTTTGCATGCGTTCCTTTTACTCAGTTCTATTATTGAAGTCAATATTCGAAACTTATAGCAAACGTAACATTCAGGATAGACCAAAAAAGGTCCTCGAAACTTATAGCAAATTTAGGATAGATTGATCGACTTCAAGTATATTAGTACAAAAAGGGTGACCATAATAATTAAAATTGCTTCTTTTCTATATTTTTGGAGTCGTATTTTAGACAATAATTATGCGCTATATTTTATCGCACTTATTTCGTTAATTATTTTGTTTGTCATATATTAGGTAAACTTTCTACTGAAGGCTATGCACAGTATTTTAGAATTGCCTGCAATAAAAATATTTAGACAATATTTATGACGCTAACATTAAAAAAAGGAGTTATTTCTTTGTCTACCGTACACTAGAAAAGCTTTTGAAAGCCAGCACATGACTTACATAATTCATTTGGTTCAATAAAACGATGAAAAGATATGAAGAGAAAGTTGGAGAATAAGAGAAAAGTATCGAAAGAGGAAAAGAAAAAGAAAATATTTTTCATTTAGTTACTGTATAGCATAACAA